AAAAAAAAAAAAAGCCACAGACAATGTTTTAAATAAAACTGTAAACCATAGTTTGAGAACAATTAGAGGGTGCACACTGTCTTACAGTACTCATACAAGAGACTATCACCTGTGGAACGAAGGTGATGACCTGTGTGCTTTGGAAGAGATCGGCCTTCACATTTCAGCTGATTTCTTTCTAGTTGAGATATTGTTCACAGCCTACCCTTGCTGTTCAGAAAGCTTTAGCTGGGCAGCCCAGCAGCACATCCACAAGCTTGAAGGCCCATGTTCACTGAACAAGCACTTTCTCCCATTATGAGCCCAGTGCCTAGGTGTTCTGTAGCAAATGAGGAAGGAACTGATTTGCAGCCTTCACGCCTGCACCCTTCAGACGGGAATACAATTTGCTTGCCCTCATTAGCACCACAATGCTTTGATCTGATAATAGCATGAGTCCAAATGCCTAGAAGCTCTACAGGAGAGAGCATCTGCAGCCTAGCCCCTGCCTCAAGATCCAGTAGCGGGATCCTCCCACCAGTATAGGCTTCCAGCACACCAGGGTGTGGGATATCCATGATCCTGTCTGGCAGACGGGTGAATGTGGCACATTCTAAACTTCCAGACAGCATCATCTGGACGAGGAGTACAAAACTGCCTGCAGCTGCTATTTAAAGCTGCCCAGTATTCTGGTGTGTCTGATGGCAGGAGGCAGAGGCTGTTCCATGACGGACAGTGAGGACCCGAATGGGCATGGCCATGACAAGCAGGTTTTCTTGGGTTGTTAAGTCTCATGTAAGCTTTTAACAAACCAAGTGTGAAATACTGCAGGATGAGTGAGCAAGGATGGAATCCCATGTTCTATCCTGTGCAACATACAGCATATGCCAATGTATACACGCCTGTGTAACAACTCCAGGGCAGAAGCAGCAGACAAGGAGGCCCGCTCTGCTGCCTCTCCTAGAAAATCTCCTGCCAACTTCCTCGCCCTCTCTGACACAGCCAATCACTCTTCCAGGGCATCAGTCTGGGGGGCTCCATTTCTACAGGACTCTGCTTTCAGACAGTGTTCAGCGGGCCCTGAGGTCCAATCACTGCTATGGTTCAGATATGCACCTCAGCTGCCGGCAGTCTGCATCCCAGAAATTCACTCCAGGCTACACAGACTTTGGGAATGCAACAAAAGAACAACCTGTTGCTTCCTGCCACCGGGCAACAATTAATACCATCAAAAACCTACTGTGCTCTTACTCCCAAATGCCTAGAGACAATCTTTTGCTGATTAAGTACTCTTAAGTACTAAGAGGTATTGAAGCAAGTTGCCTTTGGCAATCACCTAGTCTTGTCCTGTACTAGAAGATGGACTGTTGCTGACTCTCAAATAGGGCTGCCCTCACCACTGGAACTGTGCTCCTGACATACACCCACCCTTGGGGTTTATGGGCATGCTTCATTCTCCTCACCAGCAACAGCATCCTGGGACTAACGTTAACACACACAAACCTGTGCTTGCCCCTGCAAAGCACGGGCTCCTCCCTTCTGGTTACATGCTCTTTCTGCTGTGGACAAGAGCTGCCACGCAATAGTGACACAGGCTGGTAAACCTGATTTCTAGATCTGTAAGTATTTTTACCCCCCCCCCCCCCGCAAAGCTTGGAGAGGTGCTGTAAATCGCCTGCAGCCAGCAGACCAGTGGCAAGCTTGGCAACCATCCTGTCTCCTACAGGCCAGCCCAGCACCCAGGCGGCATGGACAGGCTGCCTGCCTTCCTGCAGGGCCCTCAGCTTGGGAAAAGGCAAGAACACCGTGTTGCCTTTGGAGCAGTTTGCTGAGCACAGTCCCAAAGGGCAAGGTGGTTCCAGTCATTAAACACCATGCCTGGGCAAGCTCTCAGTGTAACAGCAGCTAAGCCAAAGCAAGGGCCCAAAGGCCTTCTTGTGTCTCCTCCCGACAACTCCATACCCTTGGAGGTAAAGAAACAACTGCATCCCTCTGGTAGAAAAGACAGCACCAAGACAACTGGAGTGTCCCAATAAAGACAGAGACACCTCGTGTCCAACTTTGGATGCAAAATAAGCAGGTCAGTGCCAGTGCCTGTCAGAACCACTGTGCAAGGTGAGGGACACAAAATGCCACCAGCTGGGGAACAGGGACATTACTAGCGCAAGGGGGAGAGGAACGCTAAGGCTTGCTTAATATTAACAGACATACATATCTGTAACAGTTATTCCTTTACAGCCTCATAAATTAGTGAGCCCATAAAAACAGGAGGCTTGAGGAGGACATGCCAACGTCCTGCCATGCAAGCCATGTTAATTATGATAATAGGCAGATTTTAATAAGCCAGTCCCTAGCTCCTGCACTTTCACCTGTAACACACACGCATTTCCAAGGCCAGGAGATATCAGAAATACCTGCCAGTCATCTAATGGTCTAAACGCCAGTGGCACAAAACCCATGTCAGAGTGTTTGTCACACCCTGTATCCCTTTGAATTTTTCTAGTAAAAAAAAATAATAATCAGGTGAAAGAAAACTCCTCCTCTGTAAACCCCCATCTAGTCACAGCAATGAAACCAGTGTCTCAGCACAGGCGGCAGTAGTGGAGGAAACAAGAGGGCAAGAGAAGGGAGATGAGAGGATGGTAAATCATCTTCTGAGACGACAGGACTGGGGAGCTCCTGGATTCCTGGCTGCGCAGTTCTGGCAGCTGACGCTACTCTTCCTCCAATGCCCTGGCAGAGAGTCCAGCAGCAGTGCCATGCGCCCCAAACATCTGCCATCCAGCCCGTTGAAGTGCGTCTGTGCTGAACACTGGAGCCTGGAAGGTGAGGAGGACAAGGAGGACCCTGACGGATCAGCTAAGACTTCAGCTCCCGGTCGGGTTTCATGCTGAAGGGCTCCAGCCTCTCGCTCTCCGGCAGCATGCTGTTCAGCCGCTCCATCAGCGGGATCGTCTGGTCAATGCCCATCTGTATACGGCGGAGGATGGCAGACATCTCATTCACCTTCTGGATCTGCTCCGCATACTTGGCATACTTCTTCTGGCGCTCCTGCATGAAGCCGTAAAGGGTTTCCACGGAGCAGTCCATCTGTTTAAAAACAACAAGCAGAGCGAGGCGCATTAGGCCAACTGTTAGTACAGGCCCTCCTGCGAAGTGTCTTTCCTAAAAGCAACTGAGAAGAACCTTAGGTACCCCGCTGGAGATACCAGCCAGGTTGAAAGGAGTTCCTCTGTGGGTACATAACGAGTTTGTTGTGAAATGGGATAATTCATAGCTGTATACTGGGGAAGACATATGACAACCTCAGGTCTACAACCAAACACTGAGAAAATTCTGTATTTACAGGGCTGAAAGCCAACAGGCACTGCCAGGGATTTCCCAAATAAACCATCTGCATATCCTCCAAGTTATCCAAACCCAGGGAACTCATAGCCTCTGCCTACACCCGTAGTATATTTTCAGTGGAGACTGTTCCTTTGCAAGTGTTAAGCTCTACTATACTTGCCAGACCTAATTTCATCAGCTTAGCCAGGCTACCCTGCAACTAAGCCGTGGCTGTTATTACCATCATCACCTGGAAAACTCCTGCCTTGAGAGAGAACCACAATGGATTACTAGCATCCCTAATTTCCCTGAATGCTAAAAATAGAAATGTTATGAGTGACCCCAGGAGAGACATTAAGTAAATCAGCCATGCAATTAAACACAGTAAGTACCCAAACATGGCTGGAGCACGGTGACAATGACAGGAACTGCAGTGCTATTCCTGCCATTGAGTGACGAAGGTAGCCTTTATAATTCACAGCCCAACTTTCTCTTCAGCCAGACCTGCAAACCCCAGGCAGGATAGCACTGTATGTGCATGAGCCGGACTGTTTCAGCTGTTTTACACATGGTAAGACATACTATGTATTCAGAGAGCTCGGTAACAGGCCTGCTCTAAGCCCTCAAGCGTACACCTGAAGTTTTGAATGCTCCGGTTCACAGTAGCTGTGCTCGACAACCATGGTTATTCCAGAACGGTGACTCTTCAAACGAGCAGTGAGCACGCACCCTGCAAACACACTCTGTCCCCATGGAAAGCCGTCCCCTCGCCTGGGACTTGGTGCTTTCCCATAGTAGCTGCCGAGTGAAGGGCAGGAGTGGACACACACACTGACCAGTTTTAGCCAACTGCTGCCTCTTACCACTGTTTTTTCTGAACCTCTGCCATCTAATTACCCCCAGAGGAAGGAGGTCACAGCTTGTGATGAAGCAGCCTCAGGTAATCAGTGCTGAGAACTCATGGTCTACCAGGTTCAAACAACATCCCTCACTGTGACAGAGTCAACCCATTTGGTGGAGGACAGCAACTGTACCTGTTACCAAAGACAACACCAGTTTATCAGTGCAGTGCTAAAAACCGAGCTGTGCTGACCAGATCTCACTTCATACTTAATCAGCAAGTGTAATCCTGACCCAGTATGCAGTGGTGCAGGGCTGCAGAGGAGAGCCTGCAGCAAGGGGAGGACTGGGTGGAAACGATGCAAAGCTGGAAGGGGCATCCCGCACTGAGGAGGAAAGTCCCACCAGGCAGAGCACTGCCATCCCACTGGCGGCAGCAGGGTTTAGCACTGGGGGAAAAGCTGGGGGAGCTGTGTTTGCTGACAAATGTCCCTTTCAAGCCCTGGGGAAGAGGTCGAGTCAAAAACAGTCAGGCAAGAAAATACTTCATTGAGAAACCTAAGTTACAAACAGCATTGAAAACAAACACACAAGTTTCCGCTCAACTGTCATGGGGATTTAGGAAGCATTTTTTGCTGCCTATCACCTCCATCAGAGCTGGATACAGCACCAATTAACCTCTTATTTCGTCTGTACTTTCTAGTGCTCTCAGGCTGAATTCTTCCTCTTTGCCTCTGTGCTTTCCTGTGAATTCCTCCCTCCATGCTTTCACGCACGGGACAAAACAAAAACCAGCAGAGCAGGAAACTCCAAATAGAGTGGAAACAATTTAAGCCTATACAGGGGTTTCTATTAAAACCCCAGCTTAATAATTTAGTCGCTTGGTGCTAGCTCTGTAAATTGGAGTGTGTAAAAAGCAGACCACCACCAGGTCTGTACAGGATGGAAACAAATTCAATCCAGCGCCTAAAAACATCCTACCTAATGAGAGACAGTAGTGTGGAGTGGCAGCCAGTAGGAAATGTGCCAAAAGCCAGCACGCCTCTCTAAACTGAGCAGCATGGGGACCCAGGCAGAAACCTCCTCTGGTGTTGAAGTTCTCCTCCACAGGCAGGTTCTCCACATGGCCTCAGCTCAATAGGCAAAGCTCACCCCTACCAAGCTCTGAAACAAAAAGGTATGAAGGCCCCCTTTTCTCTCCATTCCAATAATTTCCATCAGTTGACTCTTTGGCTCCTTGTGTAAATACCAGTAATATCCACTTACTGAAGGGGAAGCTGAAGCTGACCTGCAAAAGGAGGAAGAAATGCAGAGTGGCCTTCCAAGTTCTCAGCTACGTCTGGACACATTCACAATGGCTATAAAAAAAGCTGCCTCACAAAACAGAGAAATGGTGGAAGTGAGCGCTTCCTATGGCTTCCCTATACCTAGCGTTCAAGTTTGCCAGCTGTAGGAGGCCACGGCAGCTGCATAGCCAGAGACATGACAAGAAAGACTGAAGCTGAGTAACTGTGAGGAAAGGTCAACTTTTACTCAGTCTGAACCTGGTGTTTTTAACTAAAAAATTAAAAAACCCTTCATGTTAACTCCTGTATAGAAATGCCAATGCCTCTTTGCAGCTTTCCTTGAAGCAGGCCTAAATACACATTTACATCCTTCCTGCCTTCTCCCCTCCAAGTGAGCTCCAGTGCCAGACCTTGTGCTTTTACCTCTCCTGGCATGCAGTCTCATTCCTCTGGCACTCAGACAGGGCCTTCAGCTGCAGGACCCAGAGGGTCAGTGCTATTTACCCACCACAGAGACTAAAACTGTCCTATAGGAATCTGCAGTGAACAGGGAATGCACATAAGAATCCGCTTAATTCCCATCTATTTAATTCCATGCAGTAGCAATAAAAAACACCCAGAGAAGGGGAGCTTAGGCAGAGTCTGCTCCCTTGCCTACAGCCAAGGAAGCCCGTGACTTTTTGAGACACCCTCAAGAGTCAGACAAGTGAATATGCCTCACCTGAGCAGCTTGCCATCAACTCGCACCTCCCTGACTTGAGGCCCTGCCATGTTCTCTTCTGGAAAACACTCAGGTCTCAGCCTTCTTGCCCACCCCCAGCTGAGCAGCTCTCTGGGAATCCCAGCAGCTCTTCCACTGCCCTATAACCATCTGCAAGTGTTTATTTGAGCCATTGTTTCTGCTTTTCTTGCTTCCAGCTTCCTACTAATGTCAGGCCACCACAGTTGCACACAACTCCCCCATCAGCAGACCACCACCCTGTACACATAAACCATGACAGATGTGGAGCTGCGCTGTCACCAACCTCTGAATGACTTCACCATCACCAATTTCTCCTTCAAACATCACCACTGAGTAAGCTATCATCATCCCTAACTTACAGGTACAGAAGAGTTCAGAGAGTTGAAAGACCTGACCTGAAACCTGTTAAGAACAAAAGCAGAGGGCAGAGCCCAGAGCGCAAGGTCAGGGTCCTAATTCTCATCAAAGTAAGAGATTCAGCCCAGCCTGATCTTGAGGAAAGACGACATGTTCTCAGTGATGGGGTAAGACCTCCCAGTGCACACTTTATTTCCTTCCAAAAATAAATCCTTTTAAAGCAGCAAACCCAAGGCTGGACATGCTCAGAGGAGAAGACAAGATATTTTCCCCTTCTAACATCAAAAAGGATGGAAGAGTTTTTTCAGCTTTGCTTCTATGAGCATAGTATCATAAAAACAGTCAAGCCTAAAACTCACCTTTCAGCCTGGCACACTTTTTTCATACAGTCAGTGACATTCAGAATTTGGGTCTGTTCCTGTTTCAATGCTCATGACTCTTTCATAGATCAACAGCAGCAGGACACTAATTTATGTCTCAGCTTCACATTTTAAACATTAAATGATATCTACTGGTCTTCAAATGAAAACAGATTCATAATTACTTCCTACAACAGTGCAAGATGGCTATTCCCTCACCTAAAAGGGCCCCAGCGCAGCCCCTCCTGCTACACCATTCCATGGTCAACCAGTAAGGGCTTGCAGACTCTCCTCTGCATTACACAGGCCCATTTGATGAAATGCAAAAACAACTGAGGGTACTTTGAGACATCTTGCACACCACAAATTCTTGCATTCATTTAAAAATTCTTCTTGGCCCACACTGCCAAGCAGAATAAAGACATTAATTTAGCCCACAAAAAGACTGAGGTCAGCACTGGACGCTGCCCAGTTCTTTTCTACAGACCACACTGAAAACAAACCAGTCAGTGCTCTGTATATACCTCTTACCTGGTATGGTTTTGTAGCATCTCTGTCATGGGCACGTAAGTGTCCTGAGCTCTCAGAAACAGGTTACATCTCATTAGTTCAGTGACTGAGACTGAAAACTGCAGCTAGACATCCCTCCCTTGGTTGCAGAACATACAAATGCAATCAGAAGTTCATTACACTTGGAATCAAACTGCTAGAGAGGCACTGCTGACATTTGTAACAAAACAAATACACAACACAACATAAGAGGAAGCTCTGTCATTCCCAGCTTCTCCACTCCCTCCTTAAAATGCTAATAGGCAAGATGATGTTTTGTTTCCCCTCACTCAGCAACAGACTTCAAGAGCTCGGCTAGACATCCATTTGCCCTGTGTCCCTCTGCCCTAACGATTTTGCTGTCAGCTCGCATCCCCTATGGCTGCCACTCAAAAAACCACAGCAATTAAGGCACAATCCTTATTCCAGAAAGTTCACTTGCTAGAACAGCACTCCAAGCACAAGCAGCCGTTCCCTTTATGTTGTCAGGTGCCTGGCTGGGGTTAAATGGAGTCCTTCCTGCAGCTGCACAAAAACCACATCAGAAAGTGACAGGCAGGAACATGACTGCATGGAATATTAGTCACGATGTACTGGTGTGAAAATACTTTTCAATCAACGCACTTAAAA